TATTATAACAAATTGCCCGCTTCACATTCAAATATTAGAGCTAGGCATGGCGATTGGGTAGACATTACAAGCGGGATAAAGCAGACGGCCCGTATCATGAAGTAGCAACACAGATTCTGAAATATGATGCCAATTCAAATAAACAATTTAAAGTAATTACCATACATGTTAATTTAAATAGATTTCAGTCCCGTCAGGTTGCCGACTGACGATTTAACGTCATTCTTGCTACTTGCAATAATTGTACTTCGTTAAAAAATAGCTGATAAAATGTAATTATTTTTTTGCATTGAATATCTTGGCTCTCATAATGGTAAATGTATTTTATAATAAGCGTGGCGTCTTATTACCCGTAGTACCACCGATATCCGTCTCAGAAAGCTGTGGATTATGAAGCCTCCGTGATTTGAGGGATGCGAAAAAGATTTTCATCATTTTATCCAAGTTTTCTTCAACACTTATACTCTTAATAATACTGACATTGCTATTTGCTGTTAACTTATCTCGGGGTCAACTGATTGTTTCATTCGCTGTACATGCATAGAATTGCAAATATCGCTTTCGCAATATTGTTATTTATAATGCACGATCCCAGATCTAAAGAACACATAATTATTGTTTCAACATTTCGTTTTAACTCTTTACTTGCATCCAGTCGTTATAAAGTATGGAGGACAAATTGAGAAACCCAAGGAAGATTAGAGACCCCACACGGCCTTCGCCGACACATGATGAGTGTATCTTTGAAATAGCACTGTTTGACCTTCAAAAAGAAAAGCAAAACGCAAGCGGAAGGGTGTGGTTGGAAGTATTTTTATTATAACCTGGTTTGACGTTTGTAAGACACTGTTGGGACACCTATATTGTACCGTTAATCACGTCACGTGTTTCATCCTATAGGATATGGTGTTAAGTCGCATGATAATAAATAATTCACGCGTTTATTAGAGTTGAATAATGTAAAGCACGATTGATTTCAACTTGAAACCGAAACTATAGAAAAATACACGTGCTTTGACAACAATCCAACATATGTTCCCAGATTGTTTTCTGGTATTTGCCTTTTTAGTTGCGATAAAAACTTTAAAAAATGCAGCACGTTATGAGTAGCTGCGGTAAACATTTGTCAAAATGGGATTTCTCATCTTTTGAACTGTTGTTGTTTTCGTATATTTTGTGCACACCGTACGTATGATATTTCAGCTTCATTATACAATTTAAAAGAACGAATTAGTATTTGAGGTTGTGCGTAACAATATACAGATGCTCAATTTAAAAGCCCACATAGATAGTCCACCAGCTCACGCCGTAAAAGCCCACGTTAGATGAGCACCAGCTTCACTTTGTACATTGTGCTACAATGTAAATTTCAAGTTACCGCGTGATACATTTCACCATCCAAGACTTAAACAGTCTAACAGAGATATGAGTACTTAAAGTACCTAGTTTCATGATTAAATTTGAAGTGTGAAACATTTTCAAAGGTAACCATCCCTTCCGTCTAATCGGTCATGCAGAACCTATTATTTGGTTTTAATATGTTGCCCATATACCAATTAATCCTCAATGGGGCATCCTTATATACGCCATGTTAAACCCTTTCACTTAACCCGGAGATGCTGATGAACGCAAATAGACTAGTAGCATAAAGAGGCAGATGATCACGAGTTAAGTGATAAAATACTAAATTTTCGATGGAAGCAGTAATCGGGTCGGTCATAAATTCGACTACAGGCATTTATGCGCAGCTGCTAAATAGGTGCTCCAAAAAATATGTTTT